ACACAACCTGATCAGAAAAAAAAAAATAAGAAACTGGAAGGTGTGATGCTGATGAGTCGCTCTTATCTGAGATCTGGCAGACCCTCTAAAGGCTTGTGTTTACTGAGGTAATTAACATGCTCCCGTTTTGAAAGGCGAGAGGACGAAACAGAGACCTGCAGGTTTCAGGATGTGGCTCTCGCAGGGCGAGCAGCGGCCTTCATTCCCAAGAAGCAGAGGACGACTTCCCGGCCTTGGCACACAGCTCCTCGCGTTCGACCTCTTTTAAAACTTCTCACGGGCGGAGAGGGAGTTAATAAAAGAAACAATATGTATAAGAAAATGCAAGCTGCCCAGAGTATGGCTAATGGAATTTGATGCTGGCTTTAATTTTAATGAAGAAAGTTGCCAGTAGCAACAAAACTGTCAGCGGCCGCCGAGTGCCATTAATAAAGGTGGAGACAACAGCAGCGCCCCGGATCAGCACAAAAGGTCCCCCTCGTCTCACGCTGCGCTAAATTGGCTGCCCGATTTTTCTTAAGTGTCCATTCTATTTAGAAGACAATTTATTAATTTTTGCCATTCATTGTCAGTTGACAGGCCATCATTTCGGAGCCCGAATTTTAGATGAAAACTAATTGAAAGGACTGGCAGTATTTATGAGGGGTATTATTTGTCAATTACGGCGGGATACACTCTTTGCCACCACCAACTTTGATGCCTGCTCTTTGGCTGTGAGGACTGTTACTGCTGGCGTTAAAATATGAGTGAAGTCTCTCCCAGCTCATCAGCTCATCCCGGGCGTGGAGGGAAACCACCTTTCCTGTTATGTGGCCCTTTCACGGTAGATGGATACGTTGTAACTGGTAGAAGGATACATTATAACTGGTAGATGGATACATTGTAACTTCCGGCAAAGGGGAAGAATACATCAGGTAATGAATACATGTAAATGTGCACACAAAATATAATTCCTTGGGGGAATAACTCCTATTCATTACTTTGTATCATTTCTGGATGAGAGTCATAATAACTACTTAAAAGATATATTTTCTAAGTTTGGTATTTTTAAAATAAGTTCCCCCTCAATTACTATATTTTAAACAAAAACAAGTAAATATATACATTCTATCGATTTGCCAACTTGAAGGCTAAATGACTTAAAAAAACAAAAACAAACCTAAGCTTTATCTTTTATATGGAAAAATACTTTTAATTGGTAGAAAACCCTCCAGAACTCTGCTGCTGAACGTTTGATAAATAATTTCTCTAAAGATATTATTAGGTTCATATTCTACAGCATTATCTTTTCATTTTTTTTTAAACTAACATTACCCAAATCCCAGATAAAATGTGCTGGAACAACGAACAGTAATTTGCTTACCAACTAAAGAAAAATTAAATGAATTATAATTTTATACGCCCAGCTTAAGTTTCTTTTCTGCAGCAATGTTGACGATGGAATCGGTTGAAGATCACTACATGGCCTGAATCTTGCCCAATTTGAATTTATACAGAGTTAAAGGTTTCAGCAGTGACGATAAAGCATTTTCCCAAAATGACAATGCACAGTCAGGGTGCGTTGTCAATCACCCGGTCCTCTGCCAGGACAGCGAGAACGCCCCGCGATCACCCAGACAACAGTGCCGAGGGTTAACGACACTCACTGAACTTGACGGCAAAGATCACGGGGCAGACCCCAAGCCACAGCTGAGGATAAACTTCAGTGCTTTTAACTGGAAAACCGTTCTTTATACCCAGTCGATTCCTGAATGACGTCCGTGCTGGGTTTTTGGAAATCCGTTTCAGCGTACACGGAAATGCTTGTCTGTCAGTCTCAGCACAGATCGACCTTGTCCTTGCTACCATCCCAAGCCAGCTGGCGCGCCGAGGAGGGGCCTTCTGTGCCACTCAGTGTGGTGCATTTGTGGAAACACAGACGGCACGTGTGAGACGCGCAACACTGTCATGCTTTTGTGCGCACCCGCTTTAGCAGTCCCCGTCTGAAAAGTCACGTGTCACGCTCTTGAATGGATGTGCTTTGAGCAGCCCAGGAGGGTCAGGACAGGAGACGGGAGGAGACCATGTCCGGGGGCTCGGGGAAGGCCCCGAGAGCAGCACCCCAGGAATGCACCGCCTGTCCACTGAGGTGAACCGAGGTACCGGCTGTTGACCCCGAATCTGGTAGGCTCAGGCGGGGGCCGCTCAGCTCCCACAGGAGTGCGTCTGCGCCCCTACACGCGGCGTGACTGAGTTTGTGGGCCTTCCTGCGTCTCTGCAGCAGCGCCCTTATGGGCTCTGCTCCCCCACTGACCATGCCTGACCAGGGGACACACCACAGGAGCCAAGTGGCTTCTCAGACACCAGACCTCATGGCATGAGCCGACTGCTACTTGCAGGAGATCTTGGGGTTTGGCCTCGAGCGAGCAGTGGTCTGAAGTTTTAAAATGTAACGGTAACTCTGGCAGGGGACATTCGGTGACTGTCCTGCATCCCATCCCTGTTCTCATGGCCACAGGTTTCTGATTTTGCATGTTAAGTTCACCCTTCCCCACTTCAGCCTGTGCACTTTGGGTCAAGTTCATTGCCGACCATTGAGCATCTCATGCCCCAAGTCACAAGGACTGGTGCAGTGTGGAACTTGTTGGTGGTCCACCAGGGGCTGCTCATGACGAGTGACGACCATTTCTAGGACTTTCCACTGCTGCCTCAGATGTGGAATGGGTGGGACCCTCAGGTTTTCAGCACCGGCCTGGAGCACAAGAACGTACCGGGCGTGACGGTGGCCTAGACCCAAAGAGATCGGAGCCAGGCAGTGACTCCTGAGGCCGCTGTCTGGGGTCACACCCCCCCACCCTGCTCTAGAGAGCCAGCAAAGCTCTTCGTCGCTGACACCAGGCGAGGCGCACGTTCTCTTCATATAACCCAAATAATTGTGGGTGAGCCGCTGGGGATCGGGACAAAGTGAAGAGAACGAGCTACAGCCTCAGCGACACTAGACGACGATGAAAATTCAATGTCTTCTCGGTCCCTCTGGGAACGCAGCGGCCCCTACGCAGCGAGTGACCACCACAGGGCACACAGGCCCACGTCTCTACAGCACGAAGGTCCAGGATGTCTCCCCCAGAGGCCCGGGCACCCGCTGACCAGCACCTGCCTCCAGTTCGATCGGACGGCCTCTGACTAGAATCACGTGCAGCCGCGCAGGCCGCGTGGTTCCCCAGCACCGCGGCGCTGGGAGAGCGAGGTCTGCGTCCAGCGCCTGCACCGTGAACCCAGCCCAGGGCAGCGGCCTGCAGGGCACGGGGGCTGCTGCTCTGCGACTCAGACCCGGGATCACTTCGCTTACGACTTAGTAAAACGCGGCTCTTATAACTTCGAAACACGCCCAAGGTGACATAAGCTCAGGACTAGGTTTGAAAAATGATTTAATAACGATACCAGCAACATAGCAATGATTCTTAAGGACGGCAAGGAGAACTCAGAGTTTCTCAAGACGTTTACGTCCGCACGAATATACGAGTGACTGGATCTGAAGTGCCTGCCGTACGCCTGTTCACGCCCGATGCAACCGGGTGGCCAGTCCCCAGGTGGGCTCCCGCGACCGGCCGCCTGGCTGACCACGCCTTCTTTCCCACGTGTCTCGCCAGCCCATCGCGCAACGCGCCGGCGACGCCACGCTCCCACGTGGCCGGGCCGGGACGCCGGTGTGCGGAACGTCACGCACGGCCACCTTCGTCTTCTCCTCTTTCGAACCTTGTCTGCTTCTCTTTCCTTCACAAAATTCAGTAAGGAGCCACGAGTCTCCCCAGTTCAAAATGACCGATGTCGAGGCTGCGGAAGGAGCGGACCCAGACAGAGAAGCCGACAGGTTTCCCTCTGAGGCGCGTCCTCAGGACAGATACACCACCAGGTGAGAGCCGGCCAGTGTCCCTGGCTGCATCCAAACTTCACATCTAAATAGTCGGGGGTATTTTCTGGAATATTGGGCTTTGAAAACTAGGATGATGAAGGAATTGTTTCTCGTGATATGCTCCATTAACTTTTGTATGACAAAAACGAATCATATGAAAGTAAAGAGGGAGGAAATCCAGCCATTTTGGGGACCCTCCCACGAGACTCTTCTGCATGACAACCCACAGCCTAACAGATGACGCAGGAAAAGCTTGGACAGGTTAAGAGACGTCACGGCTACAGGCGGAGTGGCAGGGCCCGGCACCAGGCTGGCCTGATGCAAAGCGCCTGGCTCCCTCCGTGTGCCTGGGCCCCGAGCTGCCTCCGTGGAGCCCACCCGTGGCTGCGCCCGCATCTGATCAGCTGTCGTAGAGTTGGGGGTGACTGTGCAGGAGCGAGTGGGGCCCGGGCTCTGTGAGGTGGACAGAAAGCCAGCTGGGAAGAGAAACTGACAGGGTGGCCCGTCTGACGCCACTCAGAGAACGGACCTCGCGCCCCACCCAAGGGGACGGGAGGGAGGGAGGGAGGACGCCCCCTCTCGGCTTTGCGCCATGTCGGTTTGCCGATCGGGCCATCACGCATGATTCAACTGGCAGCGGAGAAGGACACGCCCTCACCCACACGGTCCTCTGTTGACCTTGAACGGCGGGCAGCCTCAAGTGCCTCAGCTGTGACTGGGCTGACACGGCTCGATCATGGTGGTTTTCACGGGTTTGCTGGAGGTGGCCCTGGGCCTCTGGAAGGAAGGCGGGGGGCGGGGGGTGCAGTGTGCCCGCGTAGTAGGACAGCGCACCTCCTCCAGCTGAGAAATCTGAATGCCACATCTGGGTCTCAACCGTGCTGTGGGCCGACCCATCTAACTCCTCTTTCCTCTCCAAAGAAAACCTGGAACTGCACGTTTACCATACCCGCTTCTTAAAAAAAACCTGGAGCATTAGGTACGGCCCACTGACAGCAATCGGCGTTTCCACAGCGGAAGCTGATGAAGACAGCCCGCCCTTATTAGGAGCCTTTACTACTAATGTTATTTCCCTAAATCTGAGAGTAGGCTACATTTATTGCTAACCAAACCCAAAGCGAACTGACAACACATCACACACAATACATCAGTCTTTGGGGTTCTGATCTCACGCCCCACGAGATTGAGCTCATTTGTTCTATAAACTTCAGCACTTGTAAATGCACTTATCATATTTCACTCCCTCATCGAGGCTGAATAATATATTCGGTCTGATTAAATTTTCATTAACATTCGAAATCATTATTCAGCCGTATTGCCTGGCAAGACATTCTGGCTTTGGAGTCCCCAAATAATTACCACGGGGTCTCAAAAAGTGACACCTGGTCTTGCTAACAAAGAAAAACCCGTCTCCCAAACTGTCTAAAATGGAGAGCCACCGCAGGTGGAGGGAGACACCCGGCCCTCTGATCTGCCCCATGCCTGTGGCACCCGCCTGGGGCTTCATCAGGGACAAATGGAGTCATGAGGAAGACGCCATGACGAGCCCAGAACTTTTCCGATTCAATATCACGAGTGGCAACAAAGTCACGACCTTGTTCCTTAACCAATTCTTTGCTTGGCTCCGCACATCACAAGGGTTCCCATCTTTAAACAGAAGGGGGAAGGTTTTTCCCCCACGCGGTCTGCGAAGCACAATGAAGACGGATCCCTTTACACGATCTTTGATTTGGATGCCTTATGTTTTCACTGTGGCTCGTACCCCAAACATGCAAACTCCAAAACATGAGATTTTCTTTTTTAAAGGTCCTCAAAGGAAGAGTATAAGCTCTCATTGATCCCCTTTCTTTGTGGTGTGGACGGCCTGGCTATAGGAATTAAGTGCTCCTTTGTAAGTCACCCAACTTTCTGGAGGGGCACTCCATTTTCCCTCCCTGCTTTCTGTAACTCCTTTGTCACAAAGTGTCAAAGATCAGAGCTGCGGTGGGGACAAACGGTGGCGGCCTGCACGCTATCGGGCAGATCTGGATCCACCTCTGTGTTCGCTCCCACCGCTAATTCATCATGGCCCGGACAGCTGGGCTGATTGCGGGCCTCCCAGCACAATGCGGGCTCTGCTGACCACCCCTCGGCGCTGGCCGGCCGGGGGGAGCCGACGGCCCGGCTGCAGCCGCCCGAGATAAGTGCTGGCTGTCAGTCCAAGGACAAAGAAGGGCAGGCCCCGGAGAGAGAGGAGATGAGAAAAATTCCTCACAACTGCTTTATCTGATGAGGGTTATGGCTAATTAATTATAAACTCAATTACCTAACCCTTACTTCAGCAGTCTCTATTCATTAAGAGATAAAACTTGACTGACGGCTAACTTCCCCTTGCACACGCACACACACATGCACGCACACACACACACGCACACGGTCGAGCCTCGCTAACACCCCATTTCCCCAGCGGGTCTCCGAAGGCACCCACGGCTGTTGGGCGCTTGTCAAACGCTGGCCCGCCTGGGCCCCCTCCAGACCGCACGCCGGTGGCCCTGCCCCACGCTGGGCCCTGGCCTTGGGAAGCGACGCCCAGACCCCAGACAGCAGGCGTGCGGCCAGGAAATCAGGTGACAGGCTGCAACACAGCTCTTCTCCCGAGCAAAGAAAGCCTCCCCGGTCAGAGGGAAGAGACGGACGCGCGGGTATTGCTGCTTTTCACATCGAAATTCCCGTTTCCCCCCGAAATTCTGGACAGGCCTGACCTCCTTTTCACTGGCGACACCTCGTCTCGGAGCCGGCAGCGGCGCGCAGGCCCGGCTCATCAATGGACTCTATTCAGCGAAGGCTGTTAATCTCTCTCGCCCTCTCCGCTTTGCCCACTTTAATGTATTTTCATGTCTATAAGTTCTTTTAATAAGCTGGGAGGGTCTGGGAGAGAAATACTTCAGGTTTCCTTACTGCTCGTCGCCAAAATTACCTCTGGCTACTGCAGATGAGACACGCCGTGGAGCCTCCAAACACCCCAGGCTCTTTCTCTCCTTCCCAGCAGGCTATTGGGACCCCCCGTTTTCGTACCACAGCAATTATTTTTGTGGGGAGCAATCAGGGAGCGTTCCCCACCCGCTCCTTGCTCTGCTCCCAGGCCCCTGCAGCCGTGGCTCCCGGAGGCCGGCCTGCCGGCCTGCCTGCCTGCCAGGCGGCCACCCTCGGGGCCAGAGCCCAGCGTGCCCGGCCCCAGGCGTCCCGGTCCCAGACGCGAACGCTCCGAGGTGGGAACCTAAGGGCCATGGCTGGTGAAGAAACGACAAGAGCACACAGCACCTCGTGCGTTGAAGACCTCGAAAACTGGCACCCCCACCCCTGCCAGCCCCTGCAGGCATCACACGGAGCATCCGTGGAGGGTGACGTTTGGGGGTGGTGGGGCTTCTGCCCAGAGTTCACCTCTGCGCGCCCGCCAAGCCCAAGGCCACAGCGTTTGTGGGCCCCGTTCCTTCCTGGCTGTGAGGAGCAGCAGGTGCCGCCGGCCGGCTGATGTGTGCACTCAGCACCCCAGGCCAGGCCGCGAGCTCAGAGACCCTGGAGAGGCCGGCGGGCGCCAGGATAGGCAGCCGGGAGGCCACCTAGAGACCAGGTCTCCGGGGCGTGAGACTCCGGTGAACGCCAGTCCCGCCCGCACCTGCCTGGGTCCCCTCCGCTGCTGTGTGTGGCGGGGCCCTGGGTCTGCGGCCAGGGGACTCCCTGACGCTGCAATCGCCATCGGTTCACGTCTAACCCACCCGCGATGGCAGAACCCCCATCGTGCAGGGCGGCGTGGAGGTCAGGGGTGACCGTGCACATTCTCTGCGAAGCTGCTGTTTTTTCAAGAATGCACGGAAGCTATTCCCAGTTGCCCCAGAATGCTCCCTGCCAAGGCCCTTCCGCCAGCAGCCTCGATAAAGAAGAAACGCCTCACCCTCATTCTCCAGACGTGGCCTCTGAAATTAAAGCTGCCGAGGACTTTGCCGCCAGCGGTGCACGTGCTGCTCTGTCCGGAGCCCACGACATGTCTACGCTAGGGGCCCGAGGAAGCCAGGTCATGGCCCTCGGCAGGTGATTATTTTTAGAACTTGAGAAACGCCACTAATTTGCAAAGTCAGTTTCCGAAGAGAGGTAGCAGTTAATAACTTGTGGTTACTGATATTTCTACTGTACTTAAATAACACGGAACTTCTCTTTTCTTTAACGCATATGAATTGCTCCCTGTACAGCAGGGGTCCCCAACCTCTGGGCTGCAGACGGGAACCAGTCTGTGGCCTGTTAGGAACCGGGCCGCACAGCAGGAGGTGAGCGGCAGGCAAGCGAAGCCTCGTCTGCATCTGCGGCCGCTCCCCGCGCCGGCATCGCCGCCTCAGCTCCAACTCAGATCATCAGGCATCAGATTCTCGTAGGAGCCCTGGTCCCTGGTGCCACAGAGGTTGGGCCCGCCGTGTACAGGGTGAGAAGGGCAGTTCCCCCCTCCTGAGTCTCCACTCCTTCGCTCCCGTGCAGCGGGGGGCGTTTCCATCAGGCTTGGGTTACGGCTGCGTAACAGAAATGCTGACGGCCTGGGGGCGGCGGGCACGGAGACAGGCGTGCGTGCTGGCCGGGGGCTGGGGCGAGGGGGCGCCCGGGTCCGCTCAGAGCATGACGTGGGCCACCTGCTCCCCCTTCCCTGCCCTGCACCCGAGAGGAAGAGCCAGGGGAGGGGAGAGACGGGACGTGGAAGGCGGGACGAGGCACGCTCGGAGGGGCACGGTGTCTCCCGCAGCGGGAGGGCCTCGCGACGCAAGGACCAGGAGGATGGGCACCTCGGCGCCGAGGACGCGCCCTTGGGCAGGGCTGGAACACGAAGTAGGGAAGACCCTGCGTCCTACGGAAGGGCGGGTGAGTGCCCGGGAGAGGCGGAAACGCCAAGCCCGGCAGGTGACAGACGGCCTGCGGTGGGCCGCTTCCCCGCGCTGGCATCCTTGTTGCACAGGTAAGTCACACGTGCAGAGAGGCTGAGCTCCGAACAGGCACCGTGTGGGGACTCAGAACCCCTTCAGAACCACACACCGAAAACCTGCTCGCCGGCTGCGGCACCACGCACACCCGCCACGGGCCGCCAGAGGAAGGGCCGCTGACGGAAAACTGGACGTTAGCTTGTCTGCTTCATCAACACCCCTGCCAGAGAGGGACCACTTTCAAATTCGACTGGAAACGATGAAGACTGGGGGAGACATGCAGGAAAAAACCAATTAATTACAGTCACACGTGGAGCCATAATTGGCCTTTGTTGGCCAACAGAGAGAAGACACTTGCAACTTTTCCCAGGATATTATATTCTAAATCCTTCTCGAGGTGGACCTCGTCCTTTTTCCAAGAAAACTTGATGGCGGTCTTTAGTATTCACTGGCATAATTAGGACTGCAGTTAATTTCATTAAATTCTCTTGCTGCTAAATGAAGCAGATTATGAGACATCTTTTATTGCAAGGCGTGAAATTACAGCCTGTCAGCTGCCAATGGTGGGGTGAAGCTAATGAATTACAGGGTAAATAACACCGGAATTAACCAGCCAATTTAACATAGCACCACGGAACAAAGTCATTTTTACTTAGAGCTTTAAGGAACAACGTGGCCAGGACACCTCCAGAGCACACACACGAACAGGGGGCTGGGTCCACTGAAGACCCCACACGCAGGGAGAACGCAGAGCAGGCACAACTGTCAACGCCCTCCCCGACCCCGGAGAAGCAACGAGGGCCCAAGTAGGAGGAAGTCCTCCAAATATCCACAGGCTGGGTGAAAAGTTACGGAAACAAACGATCAGTGGGCGACTGAGTGTTCTCACTCGCTGTTAAGGGGACCCGGGACACGTCGCCTGCGAGCTGCAGGTGCTGGTACGCCTCAACACGCAGCGCACCTGACCAGCGACCCCGCTGCCCGTGTGGCTCCGATCTCGCCGTGGACCCCGCAGTCGACGGGTTCTTTGTGTTGCTAATTCTTTCCCCTTCGTGCTGAATCTGAACCTTTGCTGAGACGGTCGTCATTTTCCTCTTTTTCTTGACCACGTTCTGATATGGCACAGGCGGGGTGACAGCTCCCGGCATCGGAAGGAAGCCATGTGTCTATGACGGTGACTTTATCCCTCGTTCACTCACCAAGTGTGGACGGAGTCTGTCCCGGATGCTGTGCCGGGGACGGGGGCCGAGCTATGACGACACGGCCACCCCGCGAAGAGGCTCGAAGCCAGTGGACGACTCAGGCAGGCGAACAGAAAGGTCTGGATGGATTGCCTAGACGTCGTTTTAGGTCAGTGGTTTTGGTGCCTGCGCCCACCCCCGCCGTACTGACCAGACTCGAGAACTCCAGTCCTTAAAATCCTGGAGCGGGAAGCGACTTTAAACGCCAGCTGGGAAGTCCGATGCCTCATTTCGGTGACGTAAAATGCATCCTGGGAAGGAGAGAACTTCGCGGGGCTTCTGCCCTCACGGGGACGAGAAACGAGCAGCTCGGCTCGGGCTGCACTGTCAGACGACACACAGCAACACAGGCGTCGCGTGCGAGCATGCGTCACCGCCACAGCAAACCGACCCAGAAGGACACAGGTCTCAGGATCCAGGAACGGAACTGGAATGGCACGAGTGCCTTCTTCGGGGAGCGCTGGCCGTGCTGCCCGAGTCGCGAGTACTCAAAAAACACTGGCAATGTTTGTTTGACAAAGCGGCAGTTTAGACTGCTGCAACCAGAATGGTTCTACGATAGATTCGGTTCATTATAACCTGTCGCACGTTCTCAAAGATGTAACTTCCCGTACAGAACGAACTTCGAGCTAAACCATTTGTGAAGACGTTCACGCTGCTTATGGACCGAACGCAGGGAACAGACAGAGTGCAGCAGTGTCACTTCCAACGCGAGTCACTTTCCTTTCGGGCAAAATCGAGAGCCAGAGTCAGTGGACGGAATCCAGGTTCGGAACTAGGGGACAGTGTAAAAAGCCAGAACGCCATACTGGAGAGAGAGACGGAGAGAGACAGAGAGAGAGAGACGAGCAAGAGCCTTTCAGTCCCAGATCCCTTTCTAAAGCCATCGTTTTTTTCCTGAACGAACTGTTTTTTCTTCCCCGGTTTCTGATTCTGTTCAGACGCCGCCACCCTCAGAATGCGAAGTCCTACGAGATGCTCCTGGTTTCGACTTCCAGATTCAGATGCCGCTGAGCCCGGGGCGTTTGCTCAGCTCACGTGACGCACACGCAGCCTCTGCCGTCACCTCCTGCCACTTTCAACCCAGGAAACGCCAAGCTGACTGGGTTCTTAACCACGTGGGGAGGGCCACCCCCTTAAAGCTGCGGAACCTCTTCTGAGAGGAGGACCTGCGAACTCTTGCGCCCCGGCTGGGTTTCAGGGGGTCTAGAAACTTCAGGGTAAGAACTGACAAATGGCTTCCTGCGAATCTCCTTCCTCCCGAGTCCTAGATGCAAGCTGCCCACTGCCCAGTTCCGCGGGAACAGAACCCTTAACCCCACCCCCACAGTGCGCTCCTCAGATGCGCCGGCTTGGCCCCTGTAACACACGCGTCTGCAATTCCTGCGTGGAACATTTCTTCACTTGGCCACAGGCAGCTCTAGTCACGCAGCCCACTGACGTCCTGGGGTGAGGTGAAAGGTCCTGCCCAGAACTGCACTTCTGCAATCAAAAAGGTCCCCGAAAGCTACGGCTTCTGGAGGGTCGGTCGGCTTTAAAACAGTGCTCAGATTCGGGGCAGAGCGGGGCCAAGAGCTGGCAGCCCAGAGTCGACCAAGGGTGCGGAGTAAGACGGGAGGCTGTGAGGCGGGCAGACGTGGGCCCAGAGGTTCTGGGAGGATGGCGGGGCGAGGGCGGCGCTTCCGTGTGAACGGAAACGTGGCTCCCTGGCCCCGTCTCACTAGGAGCGGGGCCTGATGGAGAATGACCAGCAGAGACGCGGTGGACATGGACGGCGGGGCGGGAGGAGCCGGTCTACGTACTCGGGGAGAGGACGGGAGAGTGCCCAGGGCGGTGGGAAGAGTGGACGGTGAGGAGGAGACGGCGGGAGGGCGTCCAGGTCAGAAAGGAGTCGGGGGGCAGTGATCCCCGGAGCCCGGGAGGGCCTGGCCTCCCCAGGATGTTCTAACACGGGGGACAGGAGCCGACTGGTGCTGGGGGCGCAGCGGGTGGGGGCCTGGGCTATCGACAGTGGCCTGGCAGGTCCACGGGGCCTTGAAGGACTCTGCGTGAACAATGAATCCGCAGGGAGGCTTGCTGGGGTCAGTCCTGGTGCCTCCCCAGGGGGCCCTTCTAAGAATAACGTCTTTACATTCGTGGGGACGCGAAAGCACCAACAGCACTGAAGTCCAGTCACCGAGGTATCGACAAAGACGTCTGTGGTCGACAACACGCGTCTTCATCAAGACCTAGTGGCAGATCTCCGACCTACCGCACTTCCAGATAGTGAGAGTGTGAGCCGCCCGTCCAACGCCCCGCGACCCCCGCCACGTGAGGCGCGGCTGGGCGGGCCACAGGCCGGCGCTCCCCACTGTGCGCCGCTGCCTACGTCCACATGTGGAGCAAATGTCCGACTTGGCTGTGGTCGGAAGGGACGAGGGCAACGCTCCCGTCCGCACCCTCGTCCGGCGCTCGGGGCCGGGGCAGTCACGCTGCGACGTGAGCGTGGGTTCCACTTCCTCGCTCCAGAACACGCATCTTTGCTCCGCAGCTGGGAACGGAGCCTGGGAGGCGCATGGCGGGAGACGTGCAGGCGGCCGCCCGCCTCCGGGAGGGGACCTCTGCTGCTCCAGTGGCACCGTGCAGCGGGAGGCACGGGCAGGGGTGACGGCCGTCCAGGAGGCGACCGCAGATGCTCCCTCGTCCGGGCTCGAAGTTCTTCAGCGCGCTGGTGCACGTGCAGGTCTGAGACTTCGCCAGCAGTAACGGGAGGGAGCGACGCCCGGAGCTCTGGGGAAAGGACGAGGGGGGCAGGAGATGCGGAAGACACGACGCCGGGAGAAGTCTGAGGAGGGGTGTGTGCTTGAAACGATTTCTTCTTCCGGCGACATGGGAGACCACCACAGGAGGTCGGAGCTGTCTGGGCGGAACGGGGCTTGGGGGCAAGTCCACGCGTTCGGATACGTAAGGCCAAGTCACAGGGTGACTGTCCCGAAAGCCTGCCCGTCAACAGCTGTGTCGCTTCTGAGGCATGAGCTCGGTGCTGACATAAGCCCAGGAGGAGAAAAAAAACCAAACCTGGGACTCCGGGGAGACAGAGAATTCCCCAAAGAGCCCACGACGGCCTGATCACGCGCAGCGCCCCCGAACGTTGTGAGTAAACAGCTAATACACTCTTAGCTGGAAAATTATTTTGCTCATAAATTATTTCAGATTTTAATTTTCCCCTTTTCTGGTTATGCTGCCTCCCTTCACTGACTTTCTCATTTTACAAAGAAGTTCATAATTCTTTATAAGTTTCTCTCATCCTGCGCTGCTGACATCTATTTCTGAGTGGAAATCAAGCTACAAAAATGTCTTTCAAATGATGATCATCCGCAAATACGGAACCACGTCGCCTGAGAGAGCACAGAGACCTCTGCCTGCGACGCCCGGGGAGGAGGCCACAGCAGCGTCCTCCGTCTTCGTTTGAGGTCCCCCGAAGTTCTGCTCGCTGACACAGTGCCAGCGGGGTGGCTGGGAAAACTGACTCGAAACGCCCCCCGCCCCCCAGGGGAGCCCCAGCACACGCTGGGCTTGCAAGCTGCCCGTCCCCGTCACGAAGCCTGGGGTCTGACCGCCCGGCATCACGGTGTGCTGGGCTCGTAAGCTCTCCAGGTGACTCTGAAGAGCAATCTCTGGCCGGGTGATCTCTTGAGCACCAAGAGAATGGGCAACCTGACTCAACCCAGTCCAAAGGGCCCCAGCTCTGCATGGATGGTGTGTGCGTGTGCGTGTGCGTGTACATGCGTGTCTCCATGCGTGCGTGCAGAGGCGGCTTTTTGTGTCCTCAGTGCAATATTTAAATTGTGTCTGTGTTCTCAGATACTTATTTCAAACTCATCCTATTGTGTGTAAGCCTTTTCCACCAAAGATTGCTTCATACTCGATGCACACTTAAGTCCCTGGGGAGAGAAGGACCATGTGCATGTCTTCTGACACCCAGACCTCTGTCACATTAAATATCCAACACCGTTAATTTGCTAAATACTGAAACGTCAACGACGTGTCTCTTGAATTCAAATCTTGTTCATTGGCGGTAGCTCAAAGAAAGGCTTTATGTATCAAACTTAAATTCCCGGGGGGCAAATGTTACCAAAAAGTCTAAGAAACTGGGTTTCCATTTTAAGTCCAAAGAATTCAGTTCGCTTCTAATTTTTTTTTTTTTTTTTTTTAAGCCTTTCATTAACGTTAGGTGCTGAGAGCAAAGGCTTTCTGTTCACGGAAGGTCCACCAAACACTGAAGCGCTGAGGAGGGGGCATGTGAAGGGCAGAGCCAGAGGGACTGTCCCCACCTTCTTTCGCAGCGGAGTCTGACACGTGCCAGTTGCTGAGACGAGCCCGGCTCTTGCTGGGCTGGGAGTCCTCCGAGTACAGGCTGCATCTCGTTCAAGCCAGTTCGTTCCCGTGACTAATGACGGAGCTGACGCATAGGGTCGGCGAACGCCGCCCGAAAGTATTTGCAGTTAACGTAATCATCTCACAATATTTTGGAGCAAACTATTTTGAAATAAGTTTTCTAAACACTCGCGCACGAGGAAAAGCTGCGCGAATACTCAGGAAGCCTGCATTCTTCCTCCTATGGTATGAAATGTTGCAGCAAATCAATTATTTTTCACTTTCGGCAAAATGAGTTGGAAGGCAGACGGTCACCAGTGGCAGCCTGTTCTTCGTCAGTAGGACCATTTCATGACATTCGTCGGACGTCTCGGTCGTCATGTAAATGCGTTACGCCGACATTAAGCTTTGTGGGATAACTCTGCCACGTCGCCCTGACACCCCGCTTGTTTCTGTGATGCTGTACTCCCCGGCTACCATTTACATGCTCGCTTAAACATTTTAAATTTATCCGAAATTAAGAGTAATAAATTTACTGATGAGAAAGGAGACTCTCCTCCCCTATGTAATTACTATGATCTAGTAAGGAGAGTATAGGGTGTTCACAGATGCTTGTTTTTATGCGGATGCGGAGATGATGGTGGCAACAGCTACTTCCTGAGCTGCTACTACGTGCCGGCTGCGTTACAGAGGGCACCTACCAGCTTATTAAGCCACCGAGAACCTGGGAGGAGGGCTGCCCGGCCACTCCCGCGCTACAGGTCAGTCACCTGAGGTTTGGAGGTGCACAGCTGGTGAGCGGGGTCCCATTCTAAAGCATGCAGATCTGTGCACCTGCCAAGATGATGGCTGCTTATGGACGCCAGCGTTGTGAATTGCCATCCCTTATAGTAAATATTCCACTTTGGTGAACACTTACTAGTAGTACTTGTTTGTTTTTAATTTAACAGTGTTATCGTATTTCACCGACCCTCAACACCCTTGAACCCGCTCTCCATCCACCCGCCGGATCCTGACCTGCAGTTCAACAGACGCATTCTGAAGTTTTTGCAGACGTGACCACGAAAATAAATATGCACCGGGCGACGCATTCCCCCCCTTCCTTCTGTGCTCACAGCTCTCCTGCCTGGGTTCTACTTCTCTGTCCCTTAGCTCGAACCCACGGGGCAGCTGTAGAGAAAACCCCAGGGGCTTGATTCTTCCGGAGCCGTCAGGATGCAAACGGGCCGCCTGGCGAGGCGGGGGGCTGGCTGCCTTCATCATCTCCCCGCGAAGTTGATGAGCCCTGAACGGCTGGAAGCGCCCATGTAAACTGGTTAATGTTAAATGCCAGCTCTTAACAAACACGATGCGCACGGACGTGGTTTGAAATCTGAGAATCCGAGAGGAGAGAAAGTGAGATGGGCGGCAGAGTTCACATTTCTGGCCAAGCGCCCTGCTGCCTGTGGCTGAAATGTTTACGTTGCCATTAAGATGTAAGTGATGGAGTTTTGAGGCCATCACGGTATCCCCACGAGGGACTGGACCTGGCTCCCCTGGGACCGCTTCTGTGGGCCTTCTCCCCATCGGCTCCTGGACAATTCCTCAGGTCTCTGACCCCGGCAAGCACTCTAATCTGACTATAACTCATTCGATATCGCTTTTGATCACGGTACCTTTACCGAGGAATGAAGGTGACAGGAAACTAACAATACTTAGAGCATCAGAAGTTTGCTTCTTCGGAAACCGGCTAAAGGGCTTTCGCGGCTTGCTGTTCAGTTTACTCTTTTGATTGCTTTGCCACTATGTAAATCAATTTGTTAATGTTCCTTACAAAATGCATGAGCCAGTTACACTGACAAACACACAAAGCTCATTCGTAATTAGCAGTTAATTAGTAAGAAGGAACAGATGCTGTTAGAGTTTCAGCAGGCGAACAGGTTCTGTAAACAATGCTTATAAATCTAAATGAATTTATTAACCACAATACAACTGTCAACATTTTGTTGGCAACCACACAAAATATGGCGGAATCCCCAAAATGTCTTTACAATGTATTAATAATCACAGTGACAGCCAGGGCCTCTGTGGCCACCGGCTGGCAGTCCTCAGCCACCTCCTTTGTCTTCCTGAGACGTGGTGGCTTAGCGACTCTTTCGGAAGGCTTCGAAGGAGCAGGGCTTGTGTGAGCAGCATCTGAAGGTGGAGTTTATGAGACAGCGAGGGTGGAGGAAGAAGGGACACACTACGAGCCGAAGCCCTCCCTGTGGCAGCTGGGGAGGCACCAGACACACAGGACGTTTGCAAAACAAGAAGCTGCAGCGGGGGCTGGGGGTGCGGGAGCTACCGGAAGCTGTCTGGAACCGGAGCGGACAGCACGACAGAGGAGGATGCCTGGGCCCGCCAGGGGCTTTGGGCGTCTTGGTGCAGGCGGTGGGAAGCTGCTGAAGAGTCTCAGCTAAGGGGTGACAGAAGCTAACAGGCACTTTCAGAAGCAACCTTCGTCCTTGGTGTAGGACGCGGGTGGAGGGGGAACTCTTGGGGGGTGGGGGCTGGCTGTCCCTCCAGGGAGGCTGTCCCACGATCCAGGGAGAAGGGGAAGTGAGGAGAAGGGGCGGAGGGATGGATGTGGGGGGCGTTTCCGGTGGAAGCTGGCGGGCTGGGGATGTGGGAGGAGGGAAGGGGGTGACACCCAGGTTTTGAGTGAGTGTCGCCCTGATCTAGTTTCTGAAAGTCATTACTATTCACCACAATTAATGCATCAAACGCTCTGGCCAGGTCACGCGGGTGACCCCAAAGGTGCCGTGACCAGAGTCGGCAGCTCGCTCAGTGATCCCCACGGGCCACGCCCTGCCCCGCAGCCCACCCAAGCCTTCTGCCCAAGTCCCCGAGAGTGGACCTCCCTTCACCGGCCTCCTTGCCACCCACCGGCGTGACCTCAGAGCTTCCATTCTGGGGTGACCTTATATTTAAATGGCATTTTCCTATCCTCTGGTGGGGACCGCCTTCATAAAAGTCTGCAAAATGAATACTTGGAGCAAACGAATGCCAACTCCAGCGGGCTGCGCCCCCAAAACTGGCATTCCAGGTAAAAGGTTTCTCAAGGCAGGCATAGAATGTGTGAATTAGGAGTTGTAACATGGGGTTCGGCCTGGAGGAATGTGGGGACCGGCCCTCCTGGGGACGCCTGGCCAGGCCGACCAGCTCTGCAGCCACGTCTGGGGTCACCGGGACAGTGGGTCTCAGTGGGAGTGCCTGGCCAGGCCGCCCCAGGGCACCCGGGCTGCGGGCTAACCTGGGTGTGAGTTAGCAGCAGACAGTGGCCACTGGGACGCAGCTGGACAGAAGGTGAATCGTGTCTGTCAGTCAGCGGGCGGAGAGATGGCTTTCGTGGTCTGTAATGAGCACTTTTAAAAACACAGCACAGACGAGAAAAGAACGGGTACAATGCACCTAAGAAGCGCCACTGCAGAGAACTTTCACTTCGATGGCGCGCGTCCGTGTACCTGTGCGCACACGCGTGCACAGACGGGGTCACGCGCAGTAGTTCTCTGCAGGCGTCGGGGCCAACGAGGTCTGAAACAGCTGGTGTCGAAGCAGCTGGTAAAGCTTTGCGGGGACGTCCGTAACCGTCACAGCACAGGGACACGGCCAAGCGAGGCGGCGGCGTGGCCTGATCCGATTACACGCCGGCAGGGTAAACACGCACGAAAGTGTGACACGAGACCCACGTCGCCGACGTGGTCACCTGAGCTTAAAGCCGCCTCGTGCAGCTTCACCGCCTGGTGTCAGCGGGCCTCCTGTGCTCCGGACCCGGTGGCGGTCAGCACCGTGGGCCTCCCCTGGCCCAGGGCTCATGAGCAGGGGAACCCTGGCAAGCGCCGCCGCCTCCGTGCGGGCTGCGTGGGTTTCGCCCCGCCGCAGGCCGCAAGGACCAGCAGACGGCGTAAGCAGACCGAGACCGGCACCGGCGCCCGGCCGGCTCAGGGCTCCTGGCATCTGACATTCTCGACCGACCGCGCTCTTCACCTCGCCCCCTCGGACGCCGACGGCTTCCCCAGCGACCGCCGCCTCCCATTCCTTGGGGACAGAAGGCAGGAATGGGGGGCCACACCGGCTTCACGCCCCCATGTCCCCGGCAAACCACTCCTCCCCTCCCCCTACAAGAGTCCCCCCTCCTGAGGGGCCTCTCCCACCGGAGGTTCAAAGCCTGCGGCAGTAACGGGAGGGGACACTGCCGTTGACGGAACATGCAGGGGTGGCATTCCGACCAGGGGGGACGGATAAACTCACCAACCCACGAAAGGTCAGGCGTCTGGAGAAATCGAACAGCTAACCACTAAAAGGAAGACGTTAGAGGGGACTTGGGGACGGGGGCCTTTAAGGCACAATTAGCAAAGGAGGAAAAACAAGATGAATAAGATCTAGCTACAACATTTTTGAAACTTCTCGAAGCCAAAAATGACATTGAAGTGAAAAGGTAACTAAAGATAATGCAGGACGTGGCTCCATAGTGGAGCGGTGAGCACGTCTGCTGCACACGCAGAAGGTCCTGGGTTCACGCCCCAGTGGAGCCACGGTCCATGGTCTACGGCCGCGCCACCCTGAACAAGCCCGATGTCTGATTGCAGAAGCTAAGCAGGGTCGGGCCTGGTACTTGGATGGGAGACCCCCTAGGAAGACCCGGTGCTGTAGGCGTAAATAATAATAATAATAATAATAAAGGAAACTGTGGAACGTACATAAAAGCAGACGGCTAATACAGTTGATAATGAGGCTGACGGGCCAGTGACGGAGACGCGATAATGAGCCATCCTTAAACAGGCACGTCACGCAAAACGTGCAAGTAGCCAATAAAAGTATATTTTAAAACTGCTAATAAATAAGGGCAGTTTATGTTTTTAAAACAATAGGACATAATTCAAATCTATGAAACTAAAATTAAAAAACATATACATATGTGTATGTGTACGCACACACATACCCAACACCCAAACGTAAAATAAAGTACAAAGAGCACTTGTGAAGAGTGAATTCGTATATTTAAAAAAAACAAACAAACAAACAAACTTAGAAATATATACCTAAAGCCTTAAAATTTTTATGCCCTTTGACTAAGCAAATCTATTGCTAGAAACTTAACCATGGGAAATGGAGAAGAAGGAGCCTAAGATGTGCTCTGGGCGTCACCACCCGCTTTTGGCCCCAGAGACAGAAACCAGGGCTTCAAATGCACCTGTGCGGACGACGCTTGGACGATGCCTCCGAGGCTCGAGGCTAGTACTAGAAGCAGGTCCCAAATGGCCTGTGCCGTGTGATCCTGCTTTAGAAATATATTTAAAGACACAGTAGCTATTTTTCCATCCATCCATCCATCCATCCATCCATCCATCCATCCATCCATCCATCCATCCATCCATCCATCCATCCAAGAAGTATCTAAGGAAAACCTGTTACGACATTAATGGTAACTAAGAGTCGAGATTTCTTCTTTCATGAAACCCAGAGCAGTGGGACCAGCCAGGGCGACACAGGTGCTGAGGGGGCCGGAGAGTATGAGCGCAGGGGCTGGGGAGCGAGGGGGGCCGCGGGGAGGCGGGGCTGGGTTAGAAAAGGGCCCGAGAGACGGAACCGGAACAGGGAGCCTGGGAAATGCAGTCGCTGTTACCTCGGAGTGGTAGCCTCATGGCTGCTGACTTTTTCTTGCTTTTTTCCTAATTTCGCTACAACGAACATGTACTTTTTTGTTTTTGTTTTTGTTTTGTAGTTTACAGAACAATTCCATCCAGCCCCTTCCTTCCTCCCCATTCTGGCCGTCTGCGGCTCCTCCCCCATGCGGAGGGGAGCCTCTCCTCCCCGCCCCATCCCCATGGCACCCCTGGTCTTCCTTAAACCTCAAGTCCTGCCAGGCAGCCACCCGCACCCCCGCCTGTACATCCCTCCTCTCAGCCAGCCCCACGCCATGCGCCTGCCCGCGCCCTCACCCTGGCTGCAGGCCGGGTGTCCTGCAGCAGCTCAGGCTGACTCCCTCGGGCCTGCAGCAGCCGCGCATCCGGCCCCGGCTCTCTGGCTCCCTTGTTCTCTGCTGCTATGGTCCTTAGTCCACCAGCCCCTCCAGCCTGGGCTTCTGGAGATGAAGGAAGGAAGTGCCCTGAGTGTTAGATGTGACATGATCGCAAAGCCAGAGGAGGTCCGGGCCCCGGGTCAGTGCTGGGGGCAGGGAGGGTGCTCACTGCTTTGTGGAGAGGGCAGCTTCTGGTCCTATACCCACCGGGCCTCCTATGCAGGGGGTTGATACTCTCCTCCAAGGCTCAGCGGGCTTGGTCTGCACGTGGTCACCCCAGCCCAAAAACACAGGAGCAAAGACGCGGCGAGTCACCCCCCCGGCTGATAATCACAGATGTCGACACTGACACAGGACAGGGAGACAGGACTCCTAAGAACTTCACACGTTCCTGAACGCTCATTAACTGGAATTAAGTTTAGAATGTCTACAATAAATAATGTATAAAATGTTTCACTCGTTCTAAATTTAATACAATGTATAAGGTTCTCGTAAGAATTATACAGGCTTCTGAGCAATTACGTAATGATTTTGAGGGCACTTTTACATACAGCATACAATGGTTGAAATGCATGCAGGAATTCTACCGAAATGTAAGAAAAATGCTGATGAAACATTACAGGCCGACCAAATACGCCCAAGACTAAAGAGAAAGGGCATCTTAACAATGGCATGACAGACGCCGAAGGACGTGATAGAGACAATGAGAAGACATCCCCAGACTGGGAGAAAATATTTGCAAAAGACACATCTGATAAAGGCATCTTATCCAAAACATACAAAGAACTCTTAAAATCAACAATAAGGAAACGACCAAAGTAGAAAACGAGTAGATCTGAACAGAAACCTCACCGAAGACCTACGGATGGCAAATAAGGATATGAAAAGATGCTCAGCATCGTAGGTCATTAAGGAATTGCAAATTAAAACAAGATACACCCATTAGAATGGCCAGAATCGGACACACTGACCCCATCACGTGCTGGCAAGGACGTGGAGCCACGGGAACTCTCATTTGCTGTCAGTGAAAAGCAAAACGATGCAGCCACTGCGGAAGGTGGTTTGGCAGTTTCTGCTGAAACTGAAAACATTCTTACCATCCAGTCTAGCAGTCACGCTTCCTGGAATTTACCCAAATAAACTGAAAATTTATGTGCACGCGAAAATCCGCACAGAAATGTTTACAGCAGCTTCATTCAAAACGCCGCAAGTCAGAGCGATCGGGGTGTCCTTGAGCAGGTGGACGAAGGTCCGTCCAGACAGTGGGATGTTATTCAGTGACAAAAGGACGTGAACTATTAAGTCCTTAAGAGACGTGGAGGGATGGCAAGTGCAAACCACTAAGTGACAGAAGTGAGTCTGGAAAGGCCAGATCTTATGTGATTCCAACTACGTGACGTCCTGGAAAAGGCAGGAGGAGAGAGACAACAGCAAGATCCGCGGTGGCCGGGGGTGGGGGGGAGGGAGGATTAACGGGGGGAACACAGAGGCCGCACAGCTCGTCGCTATGACACTGTCACGGGGGATACACGTCATCAGACATCTACCCAAACCCACAGACTGCACGACACCTACAGAGAGCGCTAAGGTGCCCTGTGAATTTGGGGGATGATGATGTGTCGATCTGGGTTCACCGACTGTAACAAATGTACCACGTGGTGCGGGATGTCGTCGGTGGGGCTGGCTGTGCACGCGTGGGGAGGGGGGTACACGCTGGAACTTTCCGCTTCATTTTGCTGTGAATCTAAAACTGCTCCATGAAGGAGAATCGACTGATGAAGGAGGAGGAGGAAGAGCGAGATGCTCAGGATCCAGCCGATCAGAGTCCAGGTGTGATCGTGACAGCTTTAACCACCACGAGGCGGCCAGGAGGTGCCGGCACCGCCAAGGGTCCTAGGGCTGCTCCGGGGCCATGGGCTCACCCAGCGGGGATCACGGCCGAGGATCCCCCTGCCGGCATCGCATAGAGTCCCATGTGTCAGCTGTGGACAGTAAGGACTGACTGCTGGGCTCGCCGGCAGTGTATCTGACGAGAATGAGACTGTTAACTAGCATTCATGTAAGCTAAACCAGGGGTCCCCAGCCCCCAGATTGTGGACCGGTACCGGTCCGTGTCCTGTCAGGAACTGCGCCGCACAGCAGGAGGTGAGCGCCAGGCGAGCGAGCGAAGCTTCATCTGTATGTGCCCCTGTCAGGAACTGCGCCGCACAGCAGGAGGTGAGCGGCGAGCGAGCCAAGCTTCATCTGTATCTGCCCCCGCTCCCCAGAGCCAGCATCACTGCCTCAGCTCCACCCAGACCATCGGGCATTAGATTCTCAGGGGCACCGGTCCTTAGTGCCACAAAGGATGGGGACTGCTGATCTAAGTGACTGAACAATTCCAGGAGGCAACATTTTGTCAATGCCTTGAACACCTGCTGGGAGGTAAGTCATTGGAGGCAGCTTGTTGAGCTAGGGCGAGCACGCCAGGGGACAGTGGCCCTTCCTGGGCGTGTCTAGCAACCTGAACCCTTGTCGCAATATGGTGCCTCTCCAAAAACGAATCCCCAGTTCCCGTGCCCCAAGTCCTTTACAAAGAACTTTCAGCGTAATAGCTTCTGGACTGTAAAGGTCCCCGAAGAAAGGGCACTCCTCATCAGTGGCTTTCTGAATTGTCGATGTTGACGGAAATGACCACTTTGAGAGGACAAGGAATGGATGTGACTGCTTCGACGGACCTTCCGATCAGAACACTCACCGGGGCGGCTCTGGTTTGAGGAGAGGCAAAGCTACGTTCCTTGTAGAGATTACCAAAGCATAAAGAAAAATCCAGACATATCGGAGAGATCAACAAAATCCCCGACTTCGTGGGGTTCAGGCTGGAGAGGCCGGCACACAGCAGCACTGGACATCGGTCAGCTGTCAGGCCGCTGCTGCCCAGACTTCCTCCTCCACGCATTATTTCCCAGAAACCTGAGCATGAATCAAAAAACACGTCCCCAGGAAGGCACGTTCAGGATCGCCACCCACATTTGTCTTAATTCTGTGAAAACGAGCCACTTCGGGCTTGGGTCACCAGGACCCACCGTGACCCGGGCGAGCGTCAGTCCCGAGGCTGCGGGCAGCTGGCAGCAATCGCGCCAGGCCGCCTCCCTCCAAACGTCCGGCATTTTCGGTCCCCGGCAGCTTCTCTTGATGGTCTCTCCTCTGACCCGCACGAGCACGTCCCCGGCTGGCCGGCCCCGCGTGGGCCGGCGTGGGCCAGAGCGACCGTGAAGTGCCACTCCTCCCTATGTGCGGTGTGTGCTTCTCAACCATTCCGACGTGTCACTTGAGACAGGCAAACGACTTTTACGGGACAGCCTCCACGACAAACCTTGGAAGTGTAATCCAGTGCCGTGACGTGATTTAGTGAGGGACATTACTCTCGCAGCCAGCGTGACACTATTTACTGCTCGCAGAGCACAGGGGGACGACTCGCGGCTCTGGCCCTGCCCCTCTCCCCCTCCTTCAGGGCCCCGGCCAAGTATCCTG